GGGACACACGGCGTTTGATTTAATGATGTGACCGATACAATTTTATAATCCCACATTTTTAATTGACGTAATGACGCATCGGAGCGAACTGGAGCGGAGCGAAATCCTGAATTAAAAACCGCTCTGCGCCCCACCATATTTCTTCCACTTGCTCCACGCTCAGCTCACATGCTTTGTGTGATAGTTGATTTAAAAAGCAGGAAAAGGATGGATTCTGAACTTCTCACCACTGTTATATGTGCTCATTTAAATTCTTAGGAGCTTCAGCAGCAGTACTTCCATCACATATATCAGATTTATAGTCCCCACACTGCAGAGGTACTGGAATCTGTGCTTACATGTCAGTCAAACCCGTTTGCACAGGGACAAATAAAACCTCTCAATAAAGCAGAGATTACCCGCCACTGACTCATTAACCATTTACAATAACAATTTGCATTTATTTAAGACAAAAGTATTCTCATCCTTGTCTTATATTAAACTGCACTGACAACTTTTTCCTCTGAGCATGGAGCCGTGTCACTACCTGATCCCTCCCGGACGCACGATCCGTTCTGCACATGCGCAAACAAATATGCATCCACGTGTCCATAAATAATGTAATCATGGTACTAAAACTACTTATTTATATCAATAACTCACTAAAGAATGCTAATACACACCTTTAAAAAATGTTTTATGACTTTAGTGAGACAATTTTTATTCTTTTTACATTTTCTTTGTTAAACTGCATCTCTTACGTCATCATGGGACATGCCCAGAGCAGTCCGGCAAAATATGATTAAACTATGTTTATCTGCATTTTAGTTGTTTCTTTCTTTATATTATGCACTATATAGCATAAGGTTAAAACAAACGAAAGCATCAAACTCAAAAAGACTAGATTCATGTTTAAATCCAAAGCCGAAAGTAGCATAGGATCCCATTTCCGGTGCAGATCGGGCAGAGACGATAAAACAGAAAAGATTTTAACGCATTTATTTTCTCAGGAAATACATTATTAACCTTTAACACATAATATTTTAGTACGTTTCTATTTTTGGAGAGGGGAAAATAGCCTCGTGAGACCATCCTGATCTCACGAGCTTTCAAGGTTTCACTCGCAGATCAGTCTGGAGACTCTCTGTTAAAGAAAATTTAGAGCCGTTCACCAAACGAACATCCAATCAGCGTTGGCTTTGAGGCGGGTTGAGGTTTGACGCAACGAGAAGCGCGACAGTTCAGTCTAAAGAACATGGCGGCTTCAGCCGATGAAACTAGCATTAGCGTGGCTATCGAGCAAGTTTTATCGGAATTACAGGGTATTTCTTCACTGAAAGAAGAGCAAAACACTGCTCTGGAGGCTTTTCTCAGAGGAAAAGATGTTTTTGCTCTTCTCCCGACTGGTTTCGGCAAGAGTTTGATCTATCATTTGGCTTGTGCCTGGCTTGTGGTTGTGTTTTTGTCGTCGCTCTGTTAGTACGTCATATGCTTCGTTGATCTGATTAGTATATTTGGCTCGTCTATCACCAACATAGGCCAATCAGCTAACAAGTATTTTCGCCCTTCCCAAAATTACTTCAACGGAAGGTTTCCAGATGGATATGCGGAGCAAATCCATCTGGCGGAGTCAGGTTAAGGGGAAAATGCCATTTAGGTATATAAATAAAATTGAGGACCACCCGGATGCATATCTGGATGCTCATGCGTAGAACGGATCGTGCTTCCGGGACGGATCGGGGAATGACAAGCAGCCGGCTTGCAATGAATCATGAGATACCCTAAGCTACAAAGGGTACGCCGGACACATCCTTCCAACTGGGAAGAAAGAGGGCTGCATTTGTCGGCTGCATATGAAGGATTCTTTGAATCCGAGCAGGCCACGGCGCCGCGCTATGATGTAATTGGGCGATTCGAACACAGCACATATAGGATAAACAGGAAGTCAAGCTTTTATATATATAAAAAGCTAAATGCTTGTTTATAAAATGAAAGATAATAACTTCTTCCTCTAACTTTAATTTTGAAAGTCCTGTGTTAAAGCATGACTTCCTGTCTTTACGGTGCCTCTGGTCCGTGTTTTGTCCCTTGTTTGACTCCCTCTACTGGTCTGGAGCAAAATAAATGTTTGCATTGCATCATTGCATTACTGTAGATTTTTGCTTCTTTTTTCAGTAGCTGTCTCAACTTTCTGTTTGTTTTTTTATGATTTGGAGTTTACATCATATGTGTGTTTGCAGCTCATTTTGCCGTTTTCTGCACGTTTGCACCTGCGGCCACATTACATTACCTTGAACATATGGAATATATTTTATTTTACAGACTTTAACTTCTATTTGTGCTCAGACTTATTGTTCACAATAATTATATTAGCAGCCATGTATGAAATGTATTTTTCTGATAATTTAACTGCACTACAGCGGTATTATTTATTTGTATTATTATTTTTAGTACTAATTTTTGTTTTGTTTTTTTTAACTTTACATACATATCACACTTTTAGAACAAGCAAATTAAAATATGAACCAAAACATAAACAAAAACAAAATGTAGATGTTTTGTCTTAAGCCTGAAAACAAATCCAAACCTGCACAGCCCTGTGTGATGAGGTGTTTGCCTACTGAACCTAAAAAACAGTTCAGTCACCTTTAGCACAAACAGCTGCAGTCATGTGGTGACTTTCTCACCATGAGTCTTTTATGGCTCTGTGTTTTTGGCTTGCTAATCTTTTCTGAATTGCTGTAATTCAGCCACGTTGGCAGGTTTTTCTACTTTAAACAGCCTTTTTAAGATCATGCATCTCAATAGATTTCAGGTCAGGACTTTGACTAGGCCTCTCCAAAGTCTGGTGGTTCCATTTAGGGAACATAGGAAAAACGATGTAGAAATAAGTAAAAAAAAATTTAAATCAAGAGTATTTACCCTTAATTTAGTAGGTAAATAAGATGATCTGCCAATGGAATGAGTATTTTTGCTCTTAAAATTAGATAATTAGATAATATGTGCTTGTAATAAGAAAATGCAGTTGCTTTTTTTTTTATCTTAAATGTAAATTGCCTCGTTCCATTGGTAAAGTATCTCATTTACCTCCTCCATTCAAGACAAAATGCACTTACTTTAAGAAAAAAATCACTTATTTAGATGTCAATTTTTTGCAGTGCAGCAAGTCTGCCATGGCCTCATAGAAATCCCAAGTTATAAATCCAGACTCGGTCTAGATTAAGGTGTGCGTCCTGCATTCATCCATTCCACAAATGCCAAGCCTGGCTCCACCAGTCTGGCTAGGTAACTGGTATGGCTGGAAACAGGCTCCAGGTGTGGCTTAGAAAAAGTGAATCTCAAGTGTGATGAACCAAGTAATGTTCTAACAGGGTGAAAATCACTTTTTCACACAGGGCCATGTACATTTGAATTTCTTTCCTCCCTTGAATATATATACACTACCGTTCAAAAGTTTGGGGTCACCCAAACAATTTTGTGTTTTCCTGAAAAGTCACACTTATTCACCACCATACGTTGTGAAATGAATAGAAAATAGAGTCAAGACATTGACAAGGTTAGAATTAATGATTTATATTTGAAATACGATTTTTTTTACATCAAACTTTGCTTTCGTCAAAGACTCCTCCATAAGCAGCAAGTACAGCATTACATCCTTTGGGATTCTAGCTGTTAATTTGTTGAGGTAATCTGGAGAAATTGCACCCCACGCTTTATTGGCCAGTCTCAGATATGGCTTTTTCTTTGCCACTCTGCCCTGAAGCCCAGAATCCTGCAGCCGCCCCTTCACTGTAGATGTTGACACTGGTGTTTTGCGGGTACTATTTAATGAAGATGCCGGTTGGGGACCTGTGAGGCGTTTCTCAAACTAGAGACTCTAATGTACTTATCTTCTTGCTCAGTTGTGCAACGCGGCCTCCCACTTCTTTTTCTACTCTGGTTAGAGCCTGTTTGTGCTGTCCTCTGAACGGAGTAGTACATACTGTTGTAGGAAATTTTTAATTTCTTAACAATTTCTCACATGGAATAGCCTTCATTTCTAAGAACAAGAATAGACTGTCGAATTTCAGATGAAAGTTCTGTTTTTCTGGCCATTTTGAGCGTTTAATTGACCCCACAAATGTGATGCTCCAGAAACTCAATCTGCTCAAAGGAAGGTCAGTTTTGTAGCATCTGTAACGAGCTAAACTGTTTTCAGATGTGTGAACATGATTGCTCAAGGGTTTTCTAATCATCAATTAGCCTTCTGAGCCAATGAGCAAACACATTGTACCATTAGAACACTGGAGTGATAGTTGCTGGAAATGGGCCTCTATACACCTATGGAGATATTGCACCAAAAACCAGACATTTGCAGCTAGAACAGTCATTTACCACATTAGCAATGTATAGAGTGTATTTCTTTAAAGTTAAGACTAGTTTAATGTTATCTTCATAGAAAAGTACAGTGCTTTTCCTTTAAAAATTAGGACATTTAATGTGACCCCAAACTTTTGAACTGTAGTGTATATATTTTTTCATTAGCATAATGTGTTTACTTCTACTATTTAAGTTTGATGTTCTGAAACACTTAAGGGTGACAAACATGCAAAAAAGAGAATGAAATCTGCAAAGATGCAAACAGTCTTTTTCACACTGCAGCTGTTTAAACACTATTCTGAAGACACTGAGGTCTGCTGCTCAGACTTTCTCTCCTTTCATAACAAATTGTTAGATCCTGAAACCTTACTAGAGATAAAGAATAATAAAACATCAATGTGCCATCAATCCAAATATCATTGCCCAGTTTATCAAAAGTAACCCACTTGGATTTTGGATAATGGATTGGATCAAATACTGAAAATCAATTTGGTTTTTTTTTAATGAAAAAATGTCTTATGATTTTTGATTAGATCCAATATTTCAATCCAGGTTCTGATTTTTTTATTTTTATATTTTATTTTTCAGAATTTTGTAATAGGATTGGAATCACTTTGATTGAAAAAAAGATGAATTAAACTGTACCAGTAAGAAAGGGGGGACTCGGCTTGGATTTTTAGGCCCAAAATGTTTATAGTTCATGGAACTCTAACTTTAGTTGGATGATGCAGGGCAGCCTATACTTACCCTATTTTTCTATAAGTTTTTATTTGCATGTTCAAAAATCCCAGTAATCGGATGAGTTAGGCTATTTTGCCTGTTTAGCTTTTGAATATTGGTCTAAAGCTAAGTAAAGGTCTGTGTTTTAAATACATAATTTTACAACAAAGTTGAATGCAGAGCAGAGGCACAATACTGACATCTACTGGTTGATGTGTAGCAGCAGTTTTCATGTTGCAGATAATCTTGAATTAGTGATCTATCCGGATCAGATTGATCCAAACTAAAATATTGTGCTTTATTTGATCCTGAATCACAAAATAAAGGATTATCAATTTCATCTGGATTAAACCTTTTTGAAACCTTTTTTCCGGGTCGAGAGTTTTCCTACAGACAGGAAGCAAAAAGAAGAAGGCTTTTTAAACTTTTCCTGCTTTATTTCTAGATGTAATTTAAAAAAAAGAATGAATGTTTAGCTTCAGCAAACATTAATACCTCCTCAGCATGTTGTGAGGTTCATCTCATTTTGAACATTGGATCCAGGTCTGTGTGAAGCAGATAAAGGATCCAAAACTCTGGACTCCAAATGAAAGAGTCGGAGTGTCGTAATCTCCGAGGTAAATGGGTTTCAGTTCTCGGACCCTTGTATTTTCCACGGGCACCACTGTTACAACAATAGCAACAATAAAAACCTTTTCTACTCAGTACTCTGGGCGTATATACACAGTATTAAACATAGTGTCTTATAAACCTATACATGTAGCCATAGAACAGCTGATGTAATAATACGTATATAATAAAGAAAGGCTGCAAACGGTATAAATAGAAAGGTTTTACTGATGTTGATGTCATGGCTGGATGGCAGACTTCTTAAATGCAAAAGTCTGGAACCATTGTGTTGCATTGACTTTCTGACTCCTAATTCTGACTTTTAGGGGCCTTTCATTTGAAATAATCGACTTAAAAGTTGGATATTACCCCCCATTTGCTCCTTTATCTTTGCATTGTTCACTCTTTTGCAGATAGAAGCTTTTCTAACGTAAAGATAGTCCCCTTCCTTCCTCCATCAGAAATACAGATAGAGTCTATTCTTAATTGATGAAGGTGCAGAATGTGTCATTTTCTAATAGGAAAAAAAAAAACTGGCAGGAGGACTAAGCATGGAGCAGCTATCGCTGAAATCCAGTGGTCTGAGTGTTTACCCTCTCAGGCTCAAATTAAGTTACAGTTGCAGGAAAAATCGGATTTTTCAAGAAAATGATCATATGGGGTAGTAATATTCAATTTAGATTTTTTTTTGAGAGAGACCTTCACATGCAATGAATTCTGGGATGTTGCAGATTTGCAACAGTGGCCCGGACTGGTAAATTAACACTGAAGACTGAATCTGATATGAATGTTAACTTTATTTGAATGTCACAAACAAAAAATTAACAAACCAAAATTCAAAAAAAAAAATTTCTTTAACAAAATTAGAGACAACTTTTTTTTCTGATTTTTTCTCCACCGACATTTCAAAATCTCTTGAGAAGGCCGATTCTGTTAAAATGTTGCTCAAATATAGGCAAACTAATAGATAAAGCATGTAGCATCCATTGGTACCTGTTTGGGCACACGTTGCGAATCCACAACATTGAAATCGAGATGCCTCTGGAGATAAAATCTACTAATTGGCATGTGTCATATCTATATACATTCATGATTCATCTTATGTAGTATTGATTTCAAAATAATGGAAATTGGTAGTGATGCTTACATGAAATTGGTGCTTAGAAAATCTGTTTCAGTGACACCAAGGACTCAGCCATGTTGAAAGTGAGTCAGCAGTGCTATCTGGTGAGCTGGAGGGAAACTGTTTGTTGCAAATGCACAACTAAGTCCTTACAAAAACAAAAGCTCTTAAAATATGGATGTGGAGTAATTAGATAAGTGTCATTTAGCTGTTGCAAATCTGCAACATCTGCCTGGAGAGGGTTAATAGCAGTCAAGTGATACATCTTCCCAACAAACTGCATAAATGACACTCTATTTCAAAATAAAACAGCTACATAAGATAAAAGACACTGATCTCTGTGGTTTACTCCTCTTTATTCCATCTTGTGAGATTTTTGCTCAAAGCTACAGCCTGTTTTTACATCATGTGATCCATTCCTCTTCAATATGATCGTTTTAATTGCAGTTCTTTTGGTTTGTCTAAATGGCTGCAGTAAATATGTTCTCCTGGACACTTATTTCAAGAGATCTAGAACCTAAAAGACTAAGCTTTAATACATTTCATAGCATTTTTCTACATATATAAAAACCTTAAATCTGTTAAATGAATCTAGTGTTGTGAACATGTTTTCCGTAAACAGACTATTAATGAAGTGATTCTGAGGTTCGTGGTTTTAGCTTTGAGCCGCTGATCCTTGTGCTGCAGGTTACCTGACAGGAAGTGAGGACTACTTCAGCCACGAGCGCTGTTACCACATCAATGGTCTAAACCTGACCCGCTGTGCACTGGACCTGAGGGACGGAGAGGAGGTGGCCACCGCCTACAAAGGAGCTTATTCCACTGAGCTGTTCAGTCAGAGAGCCGTCAGTGTCATCAATAAACACAACTCCAGCAAGGTGACACACAAACACACAAACCTTACCTTTCAGGTTTTTTCTCTATCTTTCTTGAAGATTAATCTTATTTTTTCATTTTCTCTGATATGCCAGCCGCTCTTCCTCTACGTGGCGCTGCAGGCGGTGCATTCGCCCCTGCAGGTACCGGAGTGCTACTTGACCCCCTACGGTTTCATCGAAGACCGTCAACGCAGGCTGTACGCCGGCATGGTGTCGGCCATGGACGAGGCTGTGGGCAACATCAGCCTGGCCCTGCAGCAGGAGGGACTCTGGGAAAACACGGTCCTGGTGTTTTCCACAGGTACACTGCTAACACTCGTGCATAAAGCACTAACATGGTCAACATCAAACCATCATTTCCTAACATGAAGTATGGAGGCAGAGAGAACTGATCGGCTAAAGCAGAGCCTGTTTGCAGCTCTAAAGTTTGTTTTTTTAGTGTACTTTATTCCCGTAACCCTTCCTTGTGTGACTTTGTAAAATCTCACTTCATGTTTTCTTCCTTATTTTGATGCAATAGACTTTTGATCTGATATCCTTATAGGTTGATCCTTTTAAGCTGAATCCCAACTCATGTTTATCCTCAGATATACATCTATGTTAAAGAGAACTGCACAGTTTGTTATACTATACTCATAAACTTGTAATAATAACATAGATAGTTTCCTTTTTATGGGGTTCCACCAACACTATGTAATGCATAATGATGTTTTTATATATTTCTTAGAAAAGATAATCTCTGAAGTGTTTTTTGTTCCTCTTTTCAAAGTCGCTTAAAGCTACAGTGTGTAATTTTCAGCGACATCTAGCGGTCAGACTGCAGACTGCAGCAACATGAACGTCTCCCCCCCACCGCTTCTCCCCCCCAACAGTACGGCGAGCGTTACGGGACAAAATGTCTTCCACGACGTCCGCATCACCTACCTTCTCAAGTGATGAGGTTTGTTTACATAGATAATTTTACAGATAGTATTTCATTAGTCTGTGTAGGGTATAGATTTCATGTAGACTTAAGATAATAAATATACCCGTTATTTTTTCTACGTCGTTGTGACGTTTTGGTGAGCTGCTTTGCATGGTGATATAAACAGACGAAGTAATTGTAGTCATTAGTTTAACAGCGAGATTGTGTTCGCTGGAAGAATATATATTCCCCGTTTACAGAGTCCAAGTCTTGTTTGTGGCACGGGGGTTACAAGGCAAGGAAGAGGGAAAGGAAGAGGGCAGAGAGGCCGGGGTGAGCGTGCAGCTGGGGCCAGGCGAGAGAGGGGAGCCAGCGGGGTGAGAGCAGAGGAGGAAAGGCTTGAAGATCTCCAAAGGAGCCGGAGAGAAGTAACCGAGGTATATATCCAGAAAATTATTTTACAGAAAATTACTGAATCATTACCTGTGAAACGTCAGGGACGTTGCTGAATAAGTATACTGGAGAGTAACAGCATCATCACGCAGCATGTTATTGTTTTAGACAGGTCTGAGCATCCTGTACTCCAAAAACTGCAGTGATATTAGACAATTGTGTGTGTAGGATTAATTACCTGTCCAAGAGAAAACTGGCAACTTGAGCGTCACTTTGAAAACCTTTTTCCTCCATCAGTGACTTCCATCGTGTAAATGCCGTGCCAATGTTGATCCGTGTTTTTTGTCGTTTCTTGTCACTCTTGCGTTTATTCTCGTCGTGTTTCCGCTTCTTAGATGACGGGGGTTCGGTGTCCGCCGCTTTTCGTTGTGATACAGAGTAGGCATGATCCTCCATTCGTCTGATGTTTGGCCACACAGTGCCAAACAGTTTGCAAAGTCACTCACGCCTGCCGCCTTGTTTACCTTTCTTGTTACCGAGGCGCAGTATACCTGCTTCTTCTTCTTCTTTGGTTTCAGGCAGACTAAACGCTTCTCAGGCATAATACTGCCATCTACTGTTCAGTACCGTCTCAGTTCATCTCTCTCAACTTGCCGTAGTTATTTTCGAGCGTCATGGGAGATCTCGCAATCGCTAGTTTGTTGGCTCTGCGCTGCCGTAGCGCAAAGATGTCTGCCTCCATGGCTGCGAGACCCGCTCCTATGTAATTATAAATAACGAATTCTAAGGCAACGCAAATGTTATGGTTAAAAGGCTGAGCTCATAGGTGATGATAAATAACATAGTTATGTATAATATATTAAATTTCTGAATTTATATGCCTGTAATTATTACACACTGTAGCTTTAAATAATTCTGCTCTAAACCAAATTGTTGTCATACTCCAGCTGTCCAGTAGAGAGCAGCGTATGGCTGCTTTTCTCAGGGCCAGAGGGCTCTGGCCTGTTGACAGCTCTCCATCTGAAAGAGATTTCTAGGAGAACATCATCTGTTCATCTAAAAACATGTGGCCGCTCGCAGTTTTCCACATGTGGATGGTCTAATGGTTGGCATCTGAAGTAGGAAACCACTTTGAGGGTTATTTTTAGTGGCATTCAAGTTTTTAAAGGCTAATTAGAAAACAGGAACAATGCTGTGAAAGTGAAAAGTGAGTGCTTTTTGTACAACGTGAGGTGGGATGCGGTAGGTGGTCCATTTAATTGTCCTTCTACACATATGGTTGGCAGCAGCTTCTGACTGCTGATCTGAGACACTTTGAATGCCTACGTCACTACTGTTCAAAAAGATGCAGAGCGTGAATAATCTGTGATACAACTAGATTTTGATGAAATGCTCCTTCATCGAAAGTTTTATGAATCCCCTCGGCTGTTGTCCTTGGCTCCTACGTGTCATGACTAACAGGAAGCAAATGAGCCCTGAACTGGCTCCCTCTGCAGTGAGGCTTACTGTAAAACGTCAGCCTCTCTGGGACGTTACTGTTAGCAAACGAGTGAGGAAAGCTGCGGCCAAACCGGTAGGGATCTGGGGAAAAGACGGAACAGTCCAACCACAGCTTGAAAAAGCATTAAGGAGCAGAGAGAGAGAGTTTTCCAGAACAGTTCAACACAGACTTCTTCCTGGACTCACATGCAGTCTGCTAATGAAAGGGGATCTCTGGCTGGATGTCATTGGTGAGGTGGGTGTTGACACTGGATCCTAGAACCAAATGATAGTCAGTGTGGACCCATTCATGGACCATCTCTCAGTGTCTGATCCAGACTGAAATTATCTGAAGCATCAAAGGGATTGCATAGACACCTTATTATTTTAATTTGTGTTATTAAGTCCTGCATACAAAGTAAAGGACAATGTGAAGAAATGGTTGTTAAGGTAATCTGATTTAGGGAAGAAAGATAGAGAACACACACATATATATTATATATATATATGTATATATACATACATACTGTGTGTGTTCAGATATAAAAATTGACCATCTAATTCTCGTACTGCCTCTTTTGTTAAAGTACACACACAAACATATATATATTTATATATACGTATGTATATATATGTATATATATATATATATATATATATATATATATATATAAATATATACATACATATATATACACTCACCGGCCACTTTATTAGGTACACCTGTCCAACTGTTAACACTTAATTTCTAAGCAGCCAATCACATGGCGGCAACTCAGTGCATTTAGGCATGTAGACATGGTCAAGACAATCTCCTGCAGTTCAAACCGAGCATCAGTATGGGGAAGAAAGGTGATTTGAGTGACTTTGAACGTGGCATGATTGTTGGTGCCAGAAGGGCTGGTCTGAGTATTTCAGAAACTGCTGATCTACTGGGATTTTCACGCACAACCATCTCTAGGGTTTACAGAGAATGGTCCGAAAAAGAAAAAACATCCAGTGAGCGGCAGTTCTGTGGGCGGAAATGCCTTGTTGATGCCAGAGGTCAGAGGAGAATGGCCAGACTGGTTCGAGCTGATAGAAGGGCAGCAGTGACTCAAATAACCACCCGTTACAACCAAGGTGGGCAGAACAGCATCTCTGAACGCACAGTACGTCAAACTTTGAGGCAGATGGGCTACAGCAGCAGAAGACCACACCGGGTGCCACTCCTTTCAGCTAAGAACAGGAAACTGAGGCTACAATTTGCACAAGCTCATTGAAATTGGACAATAGAAGATTGGAAAAACGTTGCCTGGTCTGATGAGTCTCGATTTCTGCTGCGACATTCGGATGGTAGGGTCAGAATTTGGCACCTACAACATGAAAGCATGGATCCATCCTGCCTTGTACCAACGGTTCAGGCTGGTGGTGGTGGTGTCATGGTGTGGGGAATATTTTCTTGGCACCCTTTGGGCCCCTTGGTACCAATTGAGCATCGTTGCAACGCCACAGCCTACCTGAGTATTGTTGCTGACCGTGTCCATGCCTTTATGACCACAATGTACCCAACTTCTGATGGCTACTTTCAGCAGGATAATGCGCCATGTCATAAAGCTGGAATCATCTCAGACTGGTTTCTTGAACAATGAGTTCACTGTACTCAAATGGCCTCCACAGTCACCAGATCTCAATCCAATAGAGCATCTTTGGGATGTGGTGGAACGGGAGATTCGCATCATGGATGTGCAGCCGACAAATCTGCGGCAATTGTATGATGCCATCATGTCAATATGGACCAAACTCCCTGAGGAATGCTTCCAGCACCTTGTTGAATCTATGCCACCAAGAATTGAGGCAGTTCTGAAGGCAAAAGGGGGTCCAACCCGTTGCCAGCATGGGGTACCTAATAAAGTGGCCGGTGAGTGTATGTATGTATATATATGTATATATATATATATATATATATATATATATATATATATGTATATATATATATATATATATATATATATATATATATATATATATATATATATATATATATATGTATATATATAGTATATATATATATATATATATATATATATATATATATATATATATATATATATATATATATATATATATATATATATATATATATATATATACGTATATATATACATATATATATGTGTGTATGTGTATATATATATATATATATATATATATGTATATATTTATATCTATATATATATTGTTTTTTGAAGTCCAGATGTTTACCCAGAAGCCTACAAAAGACTTTGAGACTGTATAGAAAGGTGTGCCTCCAGAGTATTTACTCATTTGCATAATGCCCTTTTTTTCTTTCTTCATTACTGAGGTTTTAACAAATCCTTTTAAAAGTGTGAGGGGTGTAAATACTTATGCAATCTGGTATTTGCTTGTCTTTTAACCAGAACTATTTGTTTATTTGTGTCAGATAACGGCGGTCAGACAGTGTCTGGTGGCAGCAACTGGCCGCTGCGTGGGAGGAAGCTGTCGCTGTGGGAAGGAGGCGTGCATGGAGTGGGATTTGTCACCGGCCCGCTGCTGGAAAAACCCGGAACCACCAACCATGAGCTCATCCACATCTCCGACTGGCTGCCTACTTTTGTTGGCCTGGCAGGCGGGAGTACCAAGGGAACAAAGCCGCTGGACGGGTTTGACGTGTGGAAGACAATCAGGTGAGCTGGGCTGTGTGTTCCTCTGCTTTCCTGGACCAGCAGCTCGTTCTTGCGGTGAGGCCTCAATAAGCCCTTTATTACCGTGGCAATGGGAGCTGCAGAAGGAGGAAATTCCATCAGTCTTTCTCATACAAATCCCTGCTCCTTCCTTTCTTATTATTTTCTGCTCTCCGCCTGTGATGTTCCAGTATTAGATCAGCCGGTTGGTTTCCAGGGCAGATCTTTTATGCGGGCGCCGTGTCAACAAAGCTAATCGACTGAAATACTTTTTTAGCTGAGGCAATTAGAGTGTGGAGGGGTCACATGCAGCTGCTCACAGACCACAAATGTACTTTCCATGTGGGCTCGGTAAACTGTCAGATTCCCATCTGACCCATGTTACTGTGCTGTAAAAAAAATTATTTACTCCCTTACAGATGTATCTTTTTTCCTCTAAATCAGGAACCTTTTTGATCCAAAGAGCCATTTTTCACCTTTTCCCCTCACAATACGAAACCTTAATGACTCTTTAAAAGACAAAAACAATGTGAATAATTGAAAAAATAAAACTATGAATAAAACACTGAATAGATGAATAAATGCAGTTACAGTGGGTACGGAAAGTATTCAGACCCCTTTACATTTTTCATTTTTAAATCATTTTATTTCTCATTAAAGTACAGTCACCACTCGGCTCCTATTTTGACAGAAAAAAAGCCAAAAATGTATAAGTTTTCGCAAATTGTTATATATATATATCTACCGGTATATATATATATATAGATATATATATATCTATATATATCTATATATATATATCTATATATATATAGATATATATATAGATATATATGTCTATATCTCTCTCTCTCTCTCTATATATATATATATATATATATATATATATAGATAGATAGATAGATAGATAGATAGATAGATAGATAGATAGATAGATAGATAGTGTGTATATTTTTTAAATTATGCTAGTGGAATTCTTTTGAAATGTGCAAGAAGTTATTTTCTTCTATATGCCAGATATGTTTATTTCAAAGAACTCAAAAAGATAATCATGTCTAATGTTAAAAGGTAACTGATCAAGGTAGCTTCAGCTACATTGAAATCTTTCAGCCTACTTCGTGTTGTCAGACAGGTTCATTTTAAGTGCTTGTTTTTTAATAAAAACACTAGCGGCTCGTTTTTTCGAGAGTAGGCTGACAGGAAAGGGCGTATGAGAGAGAAATGTGGCAAAGGACCACAGGTCGGATTCAAACCTGGGTCATGCGCGCTAATAACTACGCCACCTGCACTCCTTTAATCTTTATTTAAAAACCGTTTTCTTTTCGTTTATCGTTGTCTGAAATTGTTTCAGGAAAAATCTTAGATTTTTTTTTTTTTCCTGAAACAATTGGACGTGTTTGTAAAGTAAAGAAGGAATCTATAAAGAGGGAATTCCAATTTTTGTCTTATATTTTATATTTATAAATCAGTCCAGCGCTCCTCTCCACCCAATGGACCAGCACAAATCATCTGATCATTCCCTGCTAACTTTTAGTGGCCGGCTTAATAATTAAAAGCAGCGGCCTGGTGGAGTAAAAATGGAGGCCAGCAGGCAGCAGCGGAGTGAGAGTTATTTTAGTTGTGTTATCAGGACATGCGGTCGGGCTGAGCGCTGTGTTTTCTCTGCTGTGGAACGTGGTCAGAGCCAGCTGGTTCACATTTCCAGATCCCAGATCGAGGTTTTCTCTGTTCATGAGTGAGATATAGTCACCATGCACGTGTGTCCATGTGTTTAATACTAACGGCCCTTTTTATCTTGCAGCAAAGGCTTTGCCTCGCCCAGACTGGAGCTGCTGCACAACATTGACCCTTTGTATAGTGACCTCGCTCCATGTAAGTTCCTTCTTCTATCTGGATTAATCATATGGAACCACTGTCCAGATATGTTCTGCATTTTGCTCTGACAATTCAGGCTTTGGAGCATTCTTTTAACTTTTAAAGATTGACCAAACAGATTGAGAATGAGGTGAACGTTCATTGAGGTCATTTAGACATTTATTCTTCTGACCTCTACTGGTTATATTTCCTACAGCACCAGTAGGAGGGGACTTGTTCTCCTCCAAGGAGAAGGATCTTATTTCTTTCTTTTTTTTCTCTTGACCAAAATTTACCTGCCTAATTTTCCCCCGTAATGCTCAGTCTCTTTGTCGTACCTTATTCTCTCTTCTTCCAGCTCACTCCAAATGGTTTCCATGGCTTTTAGGTCTTCGGATGATAAACAGGCCCACAGCATCACACGTCCTTCACTTTGCCAGGCTTCAACTGTTATATGGCCAGATAATAGGTCTTATCTCGCCCTCATGACTTGAGTAATGAGGCTTAACACATCAGCCTAACCTGAGTGCTAAACGATCATGCAGTCAGCCTGTCTTCCTGGGGTCAAATTCTAAAAAACAAGTATGTTGCTTTATATACATCGTAATACAAAAACCACTGACTCATTTTAAAACCAAGACAATTCATCCGTCAACCAAACTACACATACCATATGGGAGAATACAAAGTTAACTTCCAAAAATAACAACAAATGCATGATCCTGAGACAATGTACACTTCTCTATGTAGCAAATACAAGATTATAAAACATGTAAATATTTAGTATGTTGATGAATAAAAACCTATTTCTAAGCTAACGAATGTCAGAAGGACTCCTATTCCCATTTAGTGATATAGTGATTATTCCCATATAGTGATCACCTGTTTATCAAAGCAGATAAGGACTTACATTTTAGCTGCAATGCTAATGTGTTTAAAGGCCAGGCATTCTGACACAAAAAAGTCTTGTCCTGCTCTTAAGCCGGGCATACACTGTACGATTTTTTCAATCGTTGCAAGCAGATGCAATTCATTCTGTATGACGAAACCGCAGGGTTTAAAAGTTCACAGCTCATGATGCATGTTCTCAAACCGTGCGACCCGATGCACGACGCGTAGATGAGATCTACCTGAGATCTACCTGCTAAAACTGAATGTCTAAAACCCCGTCAGTGAGATGGCGCTACTCGGACTTGTCTATCTGAAAGCCAAACGTGTAGAAGAGGACATAGACAGAAGTGTCGATGCCTCCTGTTAAACATGAAGCTCACTAGAGTGAAAGGTGCTGTCTTGGCAATTTGTGCAAGTTTGTGCTGAAAGCCCTAAAAAGAAAAAATGACAAAGACATGGCTGAGCAAATGTGGCTACTACAGTCTGTCAATTTTACAAGAAGAACTCCATTTCACTCGCTCCCCCACCATGCTTCTGTGTTCTCATCTGAGAGGAAGCAGAAGAAGAATCCTTGTTTACGCCTGAGCGATTTGTCCATAACCAACTTACGATGGCAGACTGGATTTCAAACATCATGTTTGATTCTCTCCCGACCTTAGGATTCCTGATTGGGAGGTGGTCTTGAGAGGCTAATCCCCCCTCGTTACCCCCTGTTCACTACAGGATGCACGCCGCACGATTAGGCTGATCTCTGCTTCTGTCTCCTTGAACCCCAGTCGGCCTCAGCAGATGGCCGCTCACTCTGAGCCTGGTTCTGCTGGAGGTTTCTTCCTGTTAAAAGGGAGTTTTTCCTCTCCACTGTCGCTGCAAGTATGCTTAGTGTGAAGGATTGCATTTGAGTCAATGAGTCGATGCAATCAACTGGTTTTCCTTAGATAGAAAACTTTGAATTAATTTGACTTTATGATCTGGTTTAACTGTAAAGTGCCTTGAGATGACATGTGTTGAGAATTGGCGCTATAGAAATAAACTGAATTGGATTGAACTGAAATCCACCCGATCGATAAATTTGTTCCAAGAAAGAGCAAAAAATCATACAGTGTATGCCCGGCGTTACCTTCACAGCTTTGCAATAGATAGTTGGTATTAATCCACTATTTCTTTTAAGGTGTGTGGAGAAGTGTGCTTTGTTAGCACCAACGTTGTGAAACCTATCCTCTTTAAAATGCTCCGCACACAGATGCAAAACCTCTGGAGTTTTAACAGGTAGATTTCCATGAGAAATAAAATCCACCCACATCACAGGCTCAGATGATGGCAATAAAAATGACTTTTGAGCTGCTGTGCTTAGCTTTTAGCTTAGCTCTTAGCTTAGCCATATCTGTTTGGATGGTCTGCGTTGGTGAGCAGAGAGATGGCGCCTGGTAAAGGGCAGGCTCAGATAGGGGGAGGGGTTCATTCCCCGAATGACTTCATAAAGGGCATAATTTGCATTTTGAGAACATATTAATAATAATAATACATTTGATTTATACTGCACTTTTCATCAAAAAGACCTCAAAGTACTACAAAAAAGAAAAGCATTAAAAAAAAGAAATGCATAAATAAAAAAAATAAAAAAAATCATCATTATTATTATAATACTATAATAGTTGTCATAATAATCACATTAATCACATAGGATTTTATTGTATTTAAAAATACACAGACTTCAGAGCACATATGACTGTTGGAAAATGTTTAGAGCTAATTTAGCATAATATGGGACCTTTAAAATTAACTAGCTACCTTTCGTTGGTGTTTTCAGAATGAACTGAGTGGTTTTGAAAATGTTCTAGTGATTTATATAGACTTTTAGGCTTAGGTGTGTCTGGCTGCTCAGTTTGAACGTACCAAACTTGTGACAGACAATCTGCAAATGAGGCAAGAACCACATGAATAATGATGAAGGAAAGATAATAACCTGGTTAAATGTTTGTTTAATCCGTCTGAGCTTGGTGCTCCGAATTAAAATTGCCGTTGATTTTTGCTAAATATGAATGATAATGAATCATTATTGAATAAGCGTATATAATCGATAACTGTAGGATTACCCCCGGTTCTATTCTATAAATAACCAACTTCTAAAGAGTATCTGAAAGAAATGAAGGAAAGAAATCCTGAAAGTTAATCGTAATAATAGGGGATGTGTCCCAGTTGGACTGTAAATCCTGTAGCTGGAACAGGTTTCGTCAGGTTGTTGGATTCAGCCTCTATTTTACCAAATATGAACGTCCCTGATCTGAGGGAGAATACCCTAATAGGCCCGTTTGAAACGGTCCAAGTCGTGATTCATCTCCTGGATATGGCCAACAGCTTGATAAAGCTAGCGAAGATGGAAACCTCGTGTTGCCTGCCTCTCCTCCTCCTGTGTCCATGCTGTGCGGGATGCATAGTCCTATTCTTTTGCCGGTTTAAATCTGTTTTATTTCCTCTCAGCATGGACGGAAATACCAAAAGAACGTCTGGATTCACACAGCAGCTCCAAAGGCAAAGTAATATGGTAAAAAATTGCATAATATCAGACAATGCCTAATCAAGCAAATTATCAGAGTGCTTTTGGGCTGTGTTTTGTCATATAAGAGCAAACACTTTACTAAATGTGGTGTACAAACCAACTTAAACTAGTGATTTTAATGTGATAAACTGTAAAAAATAAGAATAAAGTATAAATAATTACCTGATTTCTAATGAAGCTGAATATAATCCGTCATTGTTATCAGTCCACAGTAGATAGCTGGGTGTGTGTGAGCTGTTTAACCTCTGATTGCAGGAAGGATTCCTGGTAAAAGGTCATATGACTGTGGAAACATGGAGGAGTGGACTCCTCTGCCTTAACCACTTAATAATTTGTGGACCTAACCACCACCTCCATCTCTAATGGGACTCTCTGGTCTGAGGCGGCTATTTCTGACTGAGGTGAAAACTCCAACCTTGATGTTGGACATTCAAGAATAGCGGAGAAACAGGAGGGGCACAATTTATTTTTTTTGTTGTTTTTTGTACTAAAATTCCTCACAGATGTGCCACAGGAGGGTGTAATGGGTCAGTGGATGAACAGATGTGAACCTTCTGATCCCAAAAAGCGAAATAAAGATATACTAGTTTGTAGCTCCTAAATAAGCTCCTGATCCTTTGTGGGGATTTTTAAAACAATCCAGCAGTCTTTAGTCATTTAGTTTTTAAATCATTGTCTTTATATAATTTTAACCTTTATGCTAAGCTCTGTTTAAACATTTTTCTTTCATCTAGATCAGGGTCGGTAACCTTAACTGCTCAAAGAGCCATATTGGAACAAAAAAACAAATCTGTCTGGAGCCGCAAAAATGTGAAAGTCTTATATAAGTCTCACATGGCAACACGGGCTCTAAGTGTATTAGCCCATCATAAAAATGAACTACATGGGCTCAAATATATAATAAGCATTTTTGATTAAAGGTTTATCCTGGAGCAAATGTTACTCATGTCACGACTGTGCTGTACAATATTTGGTGCTTTAAGTTTAAATTCCATTACAAAAATTAATGTATATTGTTTTTTTTTTGTTTTTTTTGCATTGATGAAATTATAGAAACACAATAAAAAATCAGATTTTTTTATGCTGAGGATTTGGGGAAAAATTGGAAGAAAGTTCCCATCCCTGCATCAGAGCGCTACCTCTTCGATCTGTGGACGGTTTTCCATGTTCCAAAGAAACTAGCAGCAGTAGTGGAGTTTGGAGATGCAATCCTAGGGATGTAAATCACATCCATCATGGCGATTCGATTCAGTATCGATTTCCTGACCCAACGATTCGATTATTTTCGATACTCAAGAATACACCACGATTCGATTCGATTAATCGGTAAATTTTTTTTATTTTTTTTTACACCTTACAGGCTAAACAAAGTTTCAAGTTTGAAATAAATCAATGAAAGCTGTAATATCGTTATGCTTTTTTTTTTTTTTAGAAACAACAGCAAATAACAGAAGTAGAAAAGTTGCATCAAAAAATACTGCACATAATCAGTGCAATGAGTCCAATGAAATACCTCGGCTCCAGACGTCCCCGCCCCCTTCACAGAGACACTGCTGCACCTCTCCCAAAT